GTGTGCCTTTATAATTATTTTCTATTATAGGTTTCACAACAGAAGTTGCGAAATCTCTTTGACGAACCAGTCCCTTATTAAAAAATCAAAGGAAAGTCCTTTGCTACCATCTGTGCAACATTAACGCCTTCACTGAAGAATGATTATTTTGTAACTTAGGAAGCATTTAGTTCTATTTAAAAACAAAACAATGGCAACACAGCTATTCAAACATTCATCTTCATCTATTACAAAGAAGTCAATGCATATATGAAACACTATGTAATTGTTACAGAAAGACCAGCATCTCTCTCTAAAGCAGAAACAGAATGGGAAATTGTAACACTATAAAAGCATAATCAAAGTGTGTTTTTTTAATGTTACCAACACCAACATGTTTCACAGAACCTGACCAGCACCTGCAAGGTCTGATTTAATATGACAGGGTTCAAGAGAAAATAAAAACTTTTAAGTTTAACTCCATTAGTAAAAAGAAGATTATGTAATAAAGGATAAGGTAAAATCATCCATAAATGGTTGTCAGCAAAATGTGACAATCTCCTTTTTAAAGTACACCGAACCGAGAAAAATCTGTTCAAGTATTTAGAAGCTCATTTTAGCAAGTATTACTATAAATCAGGCTTCTTTATCTCCAGCATACCATACACTATGTCCATGATTTGACAAATTCTTCCTAATTGCCCACCTTAATTAGAGTAATTATATATATTATAGTAAATGCAAGTAACAAGGTTCATTTAAAAGATAAATTGTGAACTACAGGGTTTTTAAAAGAGAAAATGTGAGAGACGTTCACCATTCCACTTAATTCATCATCATCTACACATGACCATTTAACAGAATCATACAATTTTGGAGGGACAGCTTAGGAATCACTTAATCTAATACTCTTATCTTAATGAGAACATTTTCCATTTATAAAGAAGACCAACTGTCATTTGTCCCCAACTATCAGTTCCGGGTATATGGTTTATCATCTAACATTTTAGTTCTAGAAGTACTTACTAGATAATCAACTACCACAAAGGTACTGCATAAAACACACTGAACAGACAAACTATCAAAGAAGCGAAGAGAAATGTTCCAGAAAAAAAATCTCAAATGCCCTTCAAGGCTAGTTTGTTTTGGGAAGACTTTGGGATGAAAACTTGGTGACTATGCAACTTACATTAAGGTAGAAAAAACCCTGCCCCGTGGAACTTAAGAGATCTGGCAGAATGTTATAATTCAGTATGTTTACACTCGAAATTTATTGTAATTTTCTATCAAAGTAGCAAAGAAAGATATTACCATTATAATTTTTTAAGGCCTATGACTGCATAGATGTTACCATTATAAAATGAATTATTTAAACCAAATTCTAAAAATGTATTTTAAAATTATTTTAATTAGGTCAGGCACAATGGCTCATGCCTATAATCCCAGCACTTTGGGAGGCTGAGGTGGGAGGATCATTTGACGCCAGGAATTCAAGACCAGTCTAGGCAACACAGCAAGACCTTATCTCTTCTTCTTTTTTTTTTTTTTTTTTGAGACAGAGTTTCACTCTTGCTACCCAGGCTGGAGTGCAATGGTGCGATCTCGGCTCACTGCAACCTCCGCCTCCTAGGTTCAGGCTATTCTCCTGCCTCAGCCTCCCGAGTAGCTAAGACTACAGGCACGCGCCACCAGGCCCAGCTAATTTTTTGTATTTTTAGTAGAGACGGGGTTTCATCATGTTGACTAGGATGGTCTCTATATCTTGACCTTGTGATCCAACCGCCTCGGCCTCCCAAAGTGCCAGGATTACAGGCTTGAGCCACCGCATCTGGCCTAAGACCTTATCTCTTCTTAAAAAAAAAATTAATTGGCTGGGTGTGGTGGTGCATCCCTCTCATCCTAGCTTCTTGGGAGGCTGAAGTGGGAGGATCTCTTGAACCCAGGAGTTCAAGGCTGCAGTGAGCCATGATGGCCCCACTGCACTCCATCCTAGGCAACAGCAAGACACTGTCTGTCTCAAAATAAATAAATCATTTTAAGTTTAGTCTCTAGGATTTAAATTAGCATTGCCAATTTTTATCCAACTCAATTCAACAAACATAATGAATACCTACACTTCTAACGAAAAAGTTGTGCAAAATAGAAAAACAGTAAATAAGAAATTTACAATACAACTGCCCTGTGTAGCCTAGGTCCTCAGTTTCCTCACCTACAGAATAACGAAATTAAAGATGATCTTCTTGTTTCTAAATTTTGGATTATGTGTTATCTAAACAGTGAAATTCAACTCAGTTTAACGTAAATAATGTTGAAGGCAGCAGTGCTTAAGTCTGGTAAGAACTAAATTAATTATTCCTAATTATAATAAGGAAAACAAACACAAAACGGACTTTGGAAAATTAATCAGTAGAATGACCTCTCCAATCTCCAACTCTATGTAGATGAGAAAGACTACATTCTAAAAGGCCTCAGAAACTTGTTCTAAGCTCAGTTTTCCTAAATATCTTTAATGATGAAATATGAAAGCATTTCATATTCCACAGTCCTCAAAATATAAATGATTCAAATATCACTAGCCAGAGTAAAATTTCCATCGAGTCTATCTTACTCTTCTTTGCACCATTGTGGTATGTCAGAACTGACAGCAGTAAATCCAGCAAGGGTTACCTTGCTCTCTATTTATCACCATTAAAAATGTTATATTACTTGTTATAAATTGTGTTCCTCCTCTACCAAAATTTATTTGTTGAGGTCCTAACCCCCAGTAACTTAGAGTGAGACTTTATTTGGAAATAAGTTCAGTGTAGATGTAACCAGTTAAAATTAAGCTATACTGGTATACAGTGGACTCCTAAGGCAATGACTCCTGTCTTTGTAGAAGGAGGAAATTTGATACAAACAAGAATACCATGTAAACATAAAGATGGCCATCTACAAGCCAAGGAGACTGGCCTGAAGCAGGTTTCCTCTCACGGTTCTTAACAGAGAACCAATCTTGCATACACTTTGATCTCAGACTTTGAGTATCTGGAATTGTGAGACAATAAATTTCTGTTATTTAAGCCATCCAGTTTGTGATACTTTGTTACAGCAGTTCTAGCAAATGAATGAATACATTATTACACAGCAAACGGTGAAGAACCAAATCAAAATATCATCATAGCCACAAATCCCAAAGTAGCACTCCAAATTTCAATGCAAAGCCAATAATCCTAACAGATCACACACGTCTAAGAATCTAACAAAAGTCACTTTCACACAAACATGAACAGTTTCCATACTGCACAATTAACTCAAGAGGCTCACTGATCCTGTACACACTTCAACTCTGAACACTGCCAAAGGTGCGTGGGCCCCTAATTAAAAACCCCTGCACTGACCCATGGTATCTATGTGGGGAGAGAAAGCTAGATCACATCCCAATCTTTTAACTAGAAAAAAAAAAAAATTATCAGTATTATCTTTGAATAAGAAGAGTTTAGAGGAACTAATGACAATTTTTTTTCTTCGGTGTGTTCTTAAAACACTGTAGTTGTGTACTACAACTACAATATCATTTTTCAAAAAGGGCAACTTTTGGCCGGGCGCGGTGGCTCACGAGGTCAAGAGATCGAGACCATCCTGGTCAACATGGTGAAACTCTGTCTCTACTAAAAATACAAAAATTAGCTGGGCATGGTGGTGCGTGCCTGTAATCCCAGCTACTCAGGAGTCTGAGGTAGAAGGATTGCCTGAACCCAGGAGGCGGAGGTTGCAGTGAGCCGAGTTCGCGCCATTGCACTCCAGCCTGGGTAACAAGAGCGAAACTCCATCTCAAAAAAAAAAAAGAAAAGGGCAACTTTTAAAACTGTGTGTATGGTTACATCTGAAAGTAAGTAAAACTTCTGTACTACAGCACATTTTATCATAAAAGAATGGAGTCAAATACAGTGATGCAGATAACTAGCTGAAGGAAATTTTTCATAGTTATAGACTGATATGAGTTCTAATTCTTCAAAATACAGACCTGTTGTAAGACTCAAAGTTTTTGCCACATTTCTTTATTTTGTACACTCAACTTCATCTTTAGGAGATGACAATAAGACATCATGGCAAAATTCTAAGAACAAAAGATTTAAAAACAGGAATCTAACAATTTTACATGAGCATTATCAATCATCCGTGGCACCTTGCCAGTCAAGAACAGGCTCTTCTACAAACACACACTAAAATGGCATGATCTGGCCAATAAAAAGACAATTCCAATATCCAATTATGAAGATACAAAACATTTTACTTTCTTTCCACAGTTAATTAGTTCTCAGCAGAAAGCACAATGGAAAGATATATAGTTAATACACAGAGTCTAAGGACAATTTGAAAAACGTTAATCCCCACTTAAATAGAAAAGAAAATGAATATTAGATTTCTGCTCTTTCAAAATGTGCTAATCTAATTAATTCAGTCTAGAAAAGTGATCCATGGAAGAATGTTGTATTCTATCTTGGGAAAGTGTATTTAAGTGAGTTAAGTGCTATTAAGGCCAAAATCGCTATCTCACATATATTCTACAGAAGTTATCATAAATGTAAAAAGCAGGCAGTGTAAAAGCAGCAAAAAAGTTCCTGGATTTACAGTCAGAAATGGGCTCTATTTCTCCAGCTTCTGGTACTAACTACATATGTGGCTGTCAGCAAGCTTTTTTCACCTCTCTGGACCTTGATTTCTCAACAATAAAATAAGGGGATTAGACTTTCACTATCGCTACGGTTTCTGTCATTTCTCAAAATGATCTCCTAAATATACCACGTGGTGTGGTGTCACATGCATGTACCCAGGAGGCTGAGGTGGGAGAATCCCTTGAGTGCAGGAGTTCAAGTCTGGCTTGGACAACATAGAGAGACTCATGGCTATTTTTTTTTTTAATTCCACATTTTAAAATCTGAAGTATGTCATTCAGAATTCCAGACACATGTTTTATGTACATATGACGAATATGAATTCATCAGTTTTTAACTAAGAGAGGCGGAAATATTTCTTACCTGAGAGCTTATTGTCATGTAGCAAATTTCGAAGCTTACTATAAAGTTGAATCATGCTGTCCAGTTGTCTATTAATCTTCACATCTTGTATCCAGGCTGGGGTGTAACACACCGGACATTCAGTTCCAATGCAGTCACTTACACAATTACTTAAAAAAAAAAAAACAACAACAACCCATGTGGCAGAATCTAAATTCCAAAAATTAAACAGTTTGAACAGAAATAAATGGAGCAGAGGTTATTCTAACATACGATGGTCAATTGTAATACGCTTGCTAAATACTGTTTTAAAGAGTAAAATAAACACACACACATCAAATCTAAAATTGCTCATGTAATTTGCTATGAAGAGACTTAACGTAGCCTGACATTAGCCTGTATAATTTTTCCTGCAAATAAACCTGTAGCTTCTAAAGATTACAGACATGTAACAAAGATAGAATATCTAAGGTATAGTAGCCATGCATGCTAACTTATTCTATCTTAACATTCCATAAAAATAATTACCAAAACCTACTGCAGAGACTGGGGAAGACCTTTTGTTTCTGGACTAGTATCTCAAGGCTTTAAAGCAGCTTTTGAGAAAAGATCTTTGGTTCTTTCAGATAATTTTATAACCTATAGTCTCAATTACCTGGGGCATCTAAGCATTAATTTCATAGTTAGAAGGGTTTTCTAATTTTGGGGTTTACAAACCTTTTGCAAATCTGATGAAAACATGTATGTACTCATGTAAAAAGAAGGATTCAAAATCCGCCCCCCATATACACAAGCCCATTTGTGAATTCCAGAATAAGAATTCTATAAATTTAAATTTACTCCTTCATTGGCCTCATCAGATGGGTTCCAGCAAGACTGAGTAACATAACAGTTGAAAAAGTCACATCTTCCCCAAGCACTACAGGACATTCCTTGTCACTGGACCCAATCATCTGTAGGCAGAGAGGATTCTTATAATATGAACTATCTTCAGACAAAACCTACGCCATTTCTAATTTTGGTATCCTTGGCTTCTAGCATGATTCCTGAAAGAATGGAACTCAAAAAAATGGTGTTAAATGAATCTGTAACCCATACCAGAGCTGGCAGAGACTTTTGTGACTATCTGACTCAAAAAATGTCACGGGGTCAATAAATGTTAACTTTAGCGAAGGATCTTCCATACATTTGTTTGCTAGTAGTTAAGAACTCTAACTTGGAACCCTAACACAAAAAAATATGTAAACCTGATTACTCAGGCAATTTAAATCATTTGTGCAAGACTTAATTATTAGTAAAACACAATCTGAAATCAACTGATCAAGAACCACCACCTCATTTTTGAAGAAAATGGGATCCAGTTAAAGTCACTTGCCCTGCACTGCACTCGTACTCAGTTATCTTACATATTCTGTAACATTTTATAAACTATTCCCAAATTATTTTATATACATTAATTCAGAATTCTGAAAATATATCATTTTCCAGTAGATCTGTATAGCTCCATGAGCGAATATTTCCCAAATGACGCATGTGTGATGTTCTAAAATCATGCTGAGTAAAGGATAAATTCCAAGTACTAGATAAACCAATGGAATTTCACATAACAGAATATAAAAATTTATTGATATAATTTGAGATTCCACACTGTGATGAACCCAAAGAAAACAGCACTTGTTGGCCAGGCATGGTGAGTCATGCCTGTAATTTCAGCACTTTGGGAGGCCAAGACAGGGGGTTCACTTGAGCTCAGGAGTTGAAGACCATCCTGGGCAACATGGCAAAACCCTGTCTCTAAAAGAAAAAAAAAAACACTACAAAAATTAGCCAGGCGTGGTCGGGCACACCTGTAGTCCCAGCAACTCAGGAAGTGAAATGGGATGATCACCTGAGCCCAGGAAGTTGAGGCTACAGTGAGCCACGATTGCTCCACTGCACTCCAGCCTGGGTGACAGAAACTCTTGTCTTCCAAAAAAAAAAAAAAAAAAAGCACTTGTCAAGTTTTGGTGTAGTATTAAGGAATAGCCATAGTTATCTTCAAAAGCTATTGGAAAAAAAGAAAAAACGAAAAAAATAACCTGAATTGAATCTTAGAATAATGAAAGAAAAATTTAAAAAGTAAAAGCTATTGAAATACTTCCTCCAACTACAAATATGTATAAGGCCAGATTTTCTTCAATAAAAAGAACCTATCACAATAGACTGAATACATAAGCTGAGAATGTAGCTGTTTTCTATTCAGCAAGACAGAGATTTGCAAAAATGTAAAACAGTGCCACTCTATTTTTTTCTTTGACTTGTAAAATTATTTTTTCCTTAAAAAAGTGCTATTTATGTTTATATGTAATAGGTTTATCATTTTTAAATGAATTCTTTTTTTTTTGAAGTCTCAGTTTTGTATGATAAATACACACACAGGTATGCACACACAAAAGCTCTTACTGGTTCTCAACTTTGAAGAATGTGAAGTGGTCTGAGACCAAAGTATTTGAGCAATCCTGCACATGTCTTAAACAAACTGTATCTTAGAGAGTAGATGAATCTGCTTTTATCAGTTGGACTGAACTGTGTCAAAATCATTTTAAAATCTCATTGCTGAGCAGTTTTATTTTAACTCAAAATCTTCAAAGAATAAAAACAACTACCATAATTTTTGGCATTATATAATTGAAATACATCAAAACTCCACTGAATGAATTCTTTCCTATGCTCATGTCACATATACATAATCATTTTCTCTTTTAAGATGTTCTCATGTCTCAACCTTTTATTGGCTGTTTTAAGTCACAGAGCCCTTTAGAATCCCCTTTAGAATTTGATTAAAAAGTATGGATCCCCTACCCCACCACACACGCAAACCAGCTTTGCATAAAAATGTCATGGAGTTCATCATGCTCTAGAAGCTTTGTGACTGACCTATTGTACACAGTAAGCAAACCCATCGTCCGTCTGCTGAAACAAAATACATGTGCTTGCTACGGAGTGGAGAGAGGGAGTGGGCATCATTTCGTAAGCAAATCCATGGGAAGCGTTTTGGAGGCAGTGACATTTTAGCTGAAATATAACTGATAAAAAGTAAGCCTCACGGAAATCTGGCATAAGTACATTCTGCGTGGAAGAAATAGCAAGTGGCAAAGTCCTGGGCGGGAGTAAGTTTGGTGTATTTAATGAACTAAAAGGAGCAGTTCTGGAACAGTGAGAGGCAAAGGTAAATGATGTCTAAGAAGCAGACAGGGCCTAGGTCCCATATAGCATATTGCAGACCACAGGGCAGAATTTGGATTTTATTCTAATTGCACTAGGAAGCCACTAAAGTTTAAGCAGGGTAATGATATGAACATTATTGAGATTTTTCAAAGATCACCGTCAAGAATGTAGAAAATGAGGAAGGGGTGATGATACCAGAAAGGGAAGATCAGTTATGAACCTATCACATTAGTATGAGCAGAGGTAATATAATGATGGCTTGGAACAAACTATAAACTGTAGCAAATTCAGATAACAGGTAGAAAAATTCAAGATTCAGGACACATTTTGAGGCAGAATGAACAGAACTTAGTGATGTGGGATGAGCAACTTAGCAGTAAGTGGTACCCTTTACTGTGACGGGACTACCCAGGCAGGAAAAGGCTGAAGAGGAGGATGATCAAGAAATCAGCACTGAACATACCAACTTTAAAATGCCTTTTCTTTCATCATCCAAACAGAGGTATCTGGTAGGCAACAGGTACCATCTCCTATCCCATCCTCCTGCTGGATATCTCTCATATAACAAATCTATTTTTTCAGAAACAAAAATTGGGACCCAAAACATAGCTGCCTCGCAGACGACCTTAGCCCATGAAGTAACACATAAGGTTATTTTCATATATGCTCAAATTTCCAAATGCAGTTTGTTCATGCCAGATAGTAACATAATCATAACTGGAAATAATTAAAAGATTAATTCAAAGGCTGTATTTACCCTGTCTCATAGGCAATTAAACAATTAAACTAAGATACTTAATCTCTCAACTGATTTCTCCTGAACAAGAAATAGGGGATAAAAATTTAATCTTCTGACCTACAAGCCATGGCCGTCACATGGATATAATTTCACAATAACTGTTATGCATTGAATTGTGCCCCCCAAAAAGATGCTTGAGTCTTCACCCCTCAGTAACTGTGAATATGACCTAATTTGGAAACAGGGACTTTAGATGATCAAATTAAGATGAGATCATTAGGGTGAGCCCTAATCAAATATAACTGGTATTCTTAAAAAAAGGGAAATGTGGCACAGAGAGAAGCATGCACTCAAGGAAGAATGCCAGGTATACACCAAAGCAAAGACCAGAGTGACGCATCTCAAAGTCAAGGAACAGCAAAGATTGCAAGGGGAAAGACACGGAGCAGATTCTCCCTTGAAGCCCACAGAAGGAACCAACGTTGCCATCATCTTGATCTTAGACACCTATCCTACAGAACTATAGAGAAAATACATTTCTGTTGTTCTAAGCCACCCAGTTTTTGGTTCTTTGCTATGGCAGCCTTAGGAAACTAATATAATAACTATAAGAACTATACTTTCATAATTTTGAGTCGACTCAAAACTTAGCTGGAAAATTTAAAAACACATATTATATAAAAGATATTAATTTTTTTCCTCAAACTTGGCAAAACTCTCTACTAAGCTTTGTAACTTTGGACAAGTCATCCTCTTGGAGCTCTGTTTTTCTTATTTATAAATTAAGACACAGTTATAAATATCAAGATAATGTACAGTAGGTTACTTTGCATACTTTGAAAGTTACACAGACATGAAGTACTATAATTATCAACAAGACTACATGATTGTTATCTAGTAAAAAATACAGTTGTCCTATATACGTCAAGCTATAATTACTTACCTACAGAAGATGTGCTCACATCCTCCTAAGCACACAGGCTCTCTCAGAATGTTAGTGCTGTTTGAAGAAATTAAAACAATCAAGATTTAAGTCATTGTTGAACATTTCCCACCCATCATTTCATCCAAGGCCCAACACTACCATATTTCTCACTTTCTCAAAGTGTGACATGGTAAAAGCCCCATATAACTGCATACCTCAACCATACCTCGGCTTTCTATTGAAGCTGCTCTCTGTAACCCAAATGTAACAGGCAAGCAGTCCAAACCCATGCCATCCTGGCCCCTGCGACTTGTAATAAGTAATTAAGGACTGTAATTTCCACCTACCCAGACAATGTGTAAACTAACACTTATCTTGACTTCTGTAACCCACTTAAGTAACAATCGGAGTGACAAAAGTCCCCTGGCCCTTGGAATGTCCAGAGCCGCCCACCCTCATCTCCGCCCACCCTCATCTCCGCCCCAGAGGTGATTTACAGAATCCACTAGCCCTCGAATGTCTGAAGCCCCCATCCTCATCCCCGCTCCTCACTCTCACCCTCAAGGTGGTTTTAGGGGTATAAAAGGTCTTGACACCCTCCTTTCGAGGCCACGAGTTGGAGAAACACGAGTCCTCCGTGGCCACTGGCAATAAAGACCCTGCAGTTTGGCATACTTTTTTCTTCGTGTTGACTTTCTATGCTCGGGCCAGTACAACAAAAGCAGAAGGTATTAAGGATGTATTCATTTGAAAGGATGTATTCACTCTGTTCCTCCCTGGTTAAATATTATACCATAACATATCTGCTGATTTTAAATAGCAACTACCAAACTCAGTACAAGTTATAATACAGTTTAAAATGTATTTTCTAGAAAGTTGGAGAAAGGAACAAATTTGTTCAAGTATCTCTAAACCTCTGAAGGCAAAAACAACTACTGGCTTCTTCTTTCAACTATCAAGGTGTATGATTCACAGACCATATACCTCAAAATGTAACCACAAGTAGAATGACCATATAACATATTGTCCAAATGAGAAAACTTCTGAGAATGAAGAGGAGTGATAATTGAATAGGGTGCTGGGACAATAGGAATAAGCCAGGACTGCCCCAGACACACCAGAGTATCTAGTCTCTTTGACCATAAAATCCATGGTTTCCAATTAGAAAAAAAAAAAAAGTGTTTCTTATTACGGTAAAGTAGCCATTTATTTTTCACAGATACATCGTGAAAAATGCAGCCATTCTTTTCAGTTCACAGAAAGTTTATTGTTCTTTAAGCAAATGCAAACAGAAATCATCAGGCTGGCAGTGTGTCTGCAGACAGAATGAAGTTCCCTGCAGTAAGCAAAGAGACACAGAAACAAAATATTCCTTATGCTGCCCATCAAAATACCTGCTACATTTGCTAATCCTAAGAAGGTAATGATACTAATAAATACACACCAAGCCATTATACTCAGTGGATGTAATGTACCCAGAGAAGTAAATCCTTTTAAAAGATGAGCACTTTTTGTGCATGGTTTATTATATTAACTCTAAAACCTTTAGGTCTTTACACTGTTATTATCAAATTACCTCTGTACACATACCACGTTATCAATAAAAACAATTTTCCACATTTCTTTAAAGATCTAAAGTATCACATTGCACATCTTAATGGATAGGAACAATTCAAGTGAAATTGAGCTTTTCGAAAAGACTGCTATAAACAGAGTACACACCCACAATGTTATTCTCAAGATACTAAAAATGGGGCTCACTGACATTACAAAACCTATTAGCTTTTAAAAACTCACCATGTCTGATTTTTGTATCACAGTATGTAGAACATACTGATAAAAATACGATTTGTGATTCTGGCAATTAACATGATCTCTTTTAACATTCATACTGCGCCTCTAATTTTTGTTATTTGACCTACCAAACCTAACATCCTCCCCGCCATCAAGTGTACTGAATTCCATTTCATGGCAAGCTCTGTCTTTAAGATCTCAAAAGTGGTGTTCTTTTACCTCCTAGTATCACAATATCCTCCCTCTCTTTTTTTTTTTTTTTTTCTCCTTGAGATGGAGTTTTGCTCTTGTTACCCAGGCTGGAGTGCAATGGCGCAATCTCGGCTCACCGCTACCTCTGCCTCCTGGGTTCAGGCAATTCTCCTGCCTCAGCCTCCTGAGTAGCTGGGATTACAGGCACACGCCACCATGCCCAGCTAATTTTTTGTATTTTTAGTAGAGACGGGGTTTCACCATGTTGACCAGGATGGTCTCAATCTCTTGACCTCGTGATCCACCCGCCTCGGCCTCCCAAAGTGCTGGGATTACAGGCGTGAGCCACTGCGCCCAGCCCCTCTATCTCTTTTATTACATCACCCTGGCCAAACAAGGTTGCTTGCTACCTTCAAAGAATTCCATTCCTTTTCCTAACACCTTGGATTCCCTATCCAGCTCAGGCCACAGTTAACTATTTCCAAGTTGTTTTCACCATTATTGAATTCTGCTGACCTCTTAGACACTCATGGATGCCAATCTATAATGCTCGATAGGTCCCAGAGTCCACTTCTTTCCTGCCCACTCAGGCTGTAAATAACCACAATAAAAAGAAATAAAGATGTATAAGCTTCTGTCTACAAATTTATTTGGTAGCAGCTGGGAACTGCAGATCATGTCTGTAATCTTTGGGAGGCTGAGGTGAGATGATCACTTGAGGCAAAGAGCTCAAGACTGCCTGGGCAACATGGTGAAATCCTGTCTCTATTAAAAATACAAAAATTAGCCAGGTATGGTGGCACACACCTGTAATCCCAGCAACTTGGGAGGCTGAGGCACAAGAATCACATGAAACTGGGAGGTGGAGGCTGCAGTCAGCCAATACTGTGCCACTGTACTCCAGCCTGGTGACAGAGCGAGATCCTGTCTCAAAAATAAATAAGTTTTTAAAAATACAGAAATTAGCCAGGTGTGGTAGCGCGCACCTGTAATCCCAGCAACTTGGGAGGCTGAGGCACAAGAATTACTTGAACCCGGGAGGTGGAGATTGAGATGAGCCGAGATTACATCACTGCACTCCAGCATCGGTGACAGAGCCAGACTCTGTCTCAAAAAAATAAAAAAAAATAGGCATAAAACGTATTTGGTAGCTTCTTCATCTTTGTATCTCTAGCAAAGTGACGGACTTGATATTCTGTAAGTAAACAAACGAATAAATGGCTCTTCGAAACAATCACTATGCTTTCTTATCTCATTAACCTTACTGAAGCTTAATAGTGTGAGTTTTTTACCACGATTTTATCTCTTCATCAGAAATCTTAGGCTTCCTAGAGTCTCAGAGGAAAATTCAATCTCCTCTAATCACTCTTCGTAAAATGTGCTGCTCTATCTCGAGTTCTCATATCTTTTTGTCTCCCAAAGTACTGGATACTCAGAATTGCCTTCTCCCATTTGCATCTACACAAAAACAGGTAAGCTCTCCTTCAATGCAGAAAAAAACACTTTCTTTTGATCATACCTCCCATTCTACCTTCTGCTCCAGCTTTTCCCTTTCTTGAAAAGATAAAAGTTCTTGAACCCAGTGCTCTAAACCAGCTACTTTATCTCCTCACCTTCCTCGCTTTAACTCCCTCCACCCTGCCGAAACTGTTCTCCGAAGCATTTTTGCTTCCCTTCTCCCTGACCACTCAGGAAAACAGCATTAATCTCATCTTCTTTACCAAAACCTTTCTTTCCTCTGAATTTTAATATTTTTCTGCATATTTATCTGCCTATTTCAGCATTTCCTTAGCTGCTTTTCCTACCTCTCGATGTAGGCATACCCCCCAGGACGTAGTCCAAAGCCTGCCTTTCTCTGGCAATGCTTGACTCAATCCCTTGATTCTGTTTCTCGACCTTAAATTTCCTTCCTAAAATGACTGAACTCATTACCTATAGCTCTAACTCATCACTCCAGCAATAAGATGCGATCATGTTTTAGCAATGATTTAATATTTGGGGATAACTCATCAGTGGTACTAATTATTCTAATTAGCGAGCTAGAATATATATTTGTGTTGCTGTTAATAGACAAGGAAAGACACTGGAAATGTGAATGAGAAGTATGTGCACTTGTGTGTACTGAGGGACGGAACAAGGAAGGAAGTGTGTGAGCCAGGCTGAGAGAGGGGGAGTGCCAAATTCAAAAGAGTTTCAATGGAAGAGCTCAAAAGGTGAACTGAACTGATCTGTGCCAAAGTTAGATTTTGTGAGGATGGCTAGTGCTTAGCTGAGAAGATATACCGGAATACAAACATGTTTAGTCAAGTGCAGTAGCACAGGCCTGCAATCCCAGTTACTCAAGAGGCCAAGGCAAGAGGATCACTTGAGCCCAGGAGTTCAAGGCTATAGCGTGTCATGATCGTGCCTATGAAGAGCCACTGCACTCCAGCCTGGACAACATACCAAGAACATGTTATCTTTAGAAATTTTTTTTTTTTAATTATTGCAACTAGGAGATACCTCTCAAGAATATAAATGCATCCAACTTTAACTCAGCTATTCCACTGCCAGAAATTTAGCCTTCAGCACAACTAGATACTTGCAAAAATGAAACTTTCAAACATCAAAGCCATCTAGACAAGATTCTAAAAGCATCCAGAGATTAAAAAATAAAATTAAATGTCATATATATATTTTTAAAAGGAATCAGGATAGCATAAAACTTCTCAAGGATAGTAAGAGATGCTACAGAACTGTGAAATGAGGCCTTCAAAATAATTATTGAAAATTATGAGGCCGGGCGCGGTGGCTCATGAGGTCAAGAGATCAAGACCATCCTGGTCAACATGGTGAAACCCCATCTCTACTAAAAATACACCATGCTGGGCATGGTGGTGCGTGCCTGTAATCCCAGCTACTAAGGAGGCTGAGGCAGGAGAATTGCCTGAACCCAGAAGGCGGAGGTTGCGGTGAGCCAAGATCGCGCCATTGCACTCCAGCCTGGGTAACAAGAACGACACTCTGTCTCAAAAAACAAAAAATTATGTTGTACTTCGAATTCCATAGCCACTTAACTTCCAGTGTCAAAGTTAACAGTAATAAGAAAA